AAAAAGTAACAAAACAACAGATGCTAGCAAGGATGCAGAGAAAAAGGCACACTTACACACTGTTGATGGGACTGTAAACTAGTATAACCTCTATGGAAAGTAATATGGAGATACCTCCAAGAACTAAAAGTAGAACTATCATTTGATCCAGCAATCCCACTACTGGATATTTACTCAAAGGGAAAAAAGATATTCTATAAAAAAGACACCGGCATTTGAATGCTTATAGCAGCACAATTCACAATTACAAAGATATGGAAACAACCTAAATGCCCATCAATACATGAGGGAATTAATAAAATTAATAAAATATGATATATATAATATATATATACATATATACACACACACACACACACACATACACATACATACTATAGAATACTACTCGACCATAAGAAAAAATGACAGACTACCTCTTATATTATCATGGATGGAGCTAGAGCCCATTCTTCTAAGTGAAGTATTACAAGAATGGAAAAACAAACACCACTTGTACTCACCATTATACTGGTAATAATTGATCAACACTAATGTGGTCATATGGGAAGTAACATTCATCAGGTGTCAGGTAGGTGGGAGAGGGGAGGCAAGGGATGGGTAAATTCACACCTAACAGGTGTGATGTGCACTCTCTGAGGGATGGGTACTCTTGTAGCTCTGACTTGGGCAGTATAAAGGCAATTTGTGTAACCAAAGTATTTGGTACTCCCATAATATTCTGAAATGTGAAAAAAAGACACTTGCACTCAAATGTTTATAGCAGCTCTGTTTAATTTGAATTTACAATCTAAAAGATGTGGAAACAACTCAAGTGCCAATTAAGACATGAGTAGATTAATAAAATGTGGTATATGTATACCACAGAGCCATAAAAAAATGGTGATCTATTATCTTTTGTACAACCTGGACGGAAATGGAGAACATTCTTCTTAGTGACGTATCGCAGGAATGGAACCACATGTACTCAATACTAAATTGGAATTAATCAATGAATACTTATGTGCACATATGGAAGCAAAACTCACAGGAAATCAAGTAGGTGACAAGGAGAGGGAGGGTATAGGAAAAAGTCACACCTAACAGATACAATGCACACTAACTGGGTGAAGGGCACACTTATAACTTTGACTCAAACTGTACAAAAACAAATTATGTAATCAAAAGGTATGTAGCCCAGGAAAATTCTCAAATAAAAAAAAACTAATATAAAGCGAGTCATAAAAAGTAAACAATAGATTAGTACAAGAAGAAAACGTAATGCATGGTTTCAAAGAAATTGTTAAGAAAAGATGAGGGAGGGAGACAAAAATGGCGTGGTAAAGGTGACCTTCTGGATTCCTGCCCCCAGAGAAAGAGGCATAAGATCATGGTATACTACACTGAGTGGATCACTCCCCTGAAAGAACAGTGATGTGAATCAGCAATCAGCGTGGGACACACAAAACGTGAAAAAAAGTTGAACGGGAGATAGGATCATGAAATCTGGGAAGTGTGAAACAAACAATAGAAAATAGAGCGTGGGACAGCTACACCTGCCTGGCCAGCGAGTACAGTGGGATGAGACCCACAGGAGAACGTCCTGCTT